ACAAACACACACACACCACACACACACACACACACACACACACACACACACACACACACACACACACACACACACACACACACACACACCTCAGATCAATGGGAGGCAGGGCAGGAAGGGGGTTGCTCTCTGTTGCCATAGAGACGGGAGGACAGTGGTGTTGGATACTGTTACTAGGCAGGAGAGGCTGCCTCTGAATCAGGTGAGAGAGTGAGGGGTGGTCTGCTGCGAGGGTGACAACATCAGGGCGTGAATACGTCTGAATATAAATTATTATCACAGTGGTTTAGAAATGAAGCGGGTTGATTTGGGAAGTGTGCCACATTAACAACAGCCACATCTGACTTATTAGCAACCCTAACTTTGATTCCAATCAACACTCAATCAAGAATATCCATTAAGAGTTGGACCATCCTAGTGCACAGCCCAGTGGCCTTTGTTTTGGAGTGCAGTTACCATTTGCTTGTGATGTTATCTAGCATCACAGTACAACCGTGTGTATTGGTGTGTGTAGCCCCTGTGTCTTTCAGTCTAAGTGGAGTGTCAACGATTAAAACACACACACACACACACACACACACACACACACACACACACACACACACACACACACACACACACACACACACACACACACACACACACACACACACACACACACACACACACACACACACACACACACACACACACACACACATTTACACTGAGGAATTAAGTAAACATTCATTGGCTTTAACCTTCATTTAGGGCAACAAATAGCGTCACCCCTCTGACAGAGATGCAAACCTCCAAAACATTTCCCCACAAGGTTTGAGTGCCACCTGGTGAATTGAAGCTGGAACAGCATCTTCCTCTCTCTCTCTCTCTCTCTCTCTCTCTCTCTCTCTCTCTCTCTCTCTCTCTCTCTCTCTCTCTCTCTCTCTCTCTCTCTCAGAGCTGCGGTACACTCACGCCCCCTCCTGGGGAATAATGGGAAAACGCTGTCTGCTTCTAAATGATGTTGCCTTGAGCATAAGAGGGAGCAAAGTGAAAACAAACAGTTGCCACGTCTCACTGTAGGAGAAAGTACCCTGAGAGATAAGCTGATATATTCTCACATGCTGTACCACCCATATACTAAATTGTGAGTCAAATACAATTTCAATATCATAAAACTATCCAAACCTGTTCCTTTACGTCCTCATTCAGTGTGCTTGACCTTTCCTCCACATGGCGCTGTCCGTGGTGCTCGTCACGGCACTGAGAGCCCGCTGTTTCCTTTCAGTACCACGGACAGCGCCACCTTTAACATATTCTTTTTAAATACATATTATGACATACTATACTATGACTTTTTGAAAAGTTGTCCTCAGGGTCTGCTAGTACCCAGCTTGAACACAGCCTCATGCCAACGAAAACTAATATTTTGAAATGTAACTTTTTTTTAATTTAAATACCATTTAAAAAAAAATTGTGACCCATGAGTGACTTACATCAGTGCAGCCTTGTATTGCTCCACTGCACTAAAAATACTCGCCTCTTTTATTGAATATTAGCTTTTTATTGGTATTTGACAGTTTTTCTGAAAACTCAGCTGTTTCTTCATTAAAAAGTCTGTTTTTTCTTCAATGTTATGTGACCTACCCAACATTTTATTTGTAGAGTATTTTTTATCCTTTAACCCTTAGATGCACGAGTGACTGGACCCTCTTCCTTAAGTGGGTCTAAAATGACCCGTATTAGAATAATATGTGTTTTTATGCAATTTTTTTCATTTTGGATAAGAAAAATCACTTGTATAATATTTAGTATTATATGTTTCAGTATTTATAATTTTAAACATTTTTTTTTACATTTTGAAAAAACCCCCCGATAAGACGGATCTCAATTCATGTCCCTCCACAAACAGTCCTCTGCCACAGCCTCAGTCCCCCAAGGCGTTCCCCAGGGATCAGTACTCGGCCCCCTCCTCTTCATCATCCACATCCTTCCCCTCGGTCAAATCCTAATTTTACCACCTCCACATGATTGCAAAGATCCAATCCTATCTTACCTGCAGCTAAACAACTTATCCTACCTTCATTTCCTCCCGCCTTGACTACTGTAACTCACTTCTCCGCGGCATCCGGTCCCCCTCCCTCGATAGACTCCAAATTGTAAAAAATGTAGCCTCACACACTCCAGATCATGGCACCACATCACACCAGTCCTCAAAGACCTTCATTGGCTTCCCGTCACCCAACGCATCAACTATAGAATACTGGCCCTCACCTACAAAGCCCTCCACCATCTGACCCCCCTATCTCACTGGTCTTCTCACCCCCTACCAACCCTCACAGCCCCTCAGATCCACCGCAGCCGGACCCCTGTCCCCCCCAAGTCCAAACTAGGCAGCTTTGAGTCTTTTCAGTGGCAGCTCCCAGGATCTGGAAATCCCTCCTCCAAGATCTCCGCTATTCGAGACCCTCACAGTATTCCAGTCCCTTTTCAAAACTCATCTCTTCTTCTCTGTCTACTCATAGCCCCCCCCTGTCAATCCATGCTGGTTGATTAAGTTTGATAGTCCTATACCCCCCACCTTAACCTTCCCTTATATTGGAAAGCGATTTTGAGTCCTTGAAAAGCCTAAACAAATAAATAATGTATTATTATTATTATTATTAGTATTATTATTATTATACTGACAGGTGTCAGATCTTGCTGTGTAATTTATTTTTATTTATTCATTTATTTAACACACACACATTTAATGCACATTAATGAACATTTCTGTAAACGTGCCAGAGTTAGCCAAGAGGCTATTTTTCATCTGTAGTCCCTGGACAGATTTTAAAAGTCAACCTAAAACACATTTCATTTTAAACAAGTAAATACAATACATTTCAAACATGCAACAGACATTACTGGGATACTTAAATAAAACAAATAAAATAAAATAATCTTCCTGAGAGGTGTCACTTGTGATGTAGTCTGTGTGGTCTACAGTGAATGTATTCCTGACAGCAACAGGTGATAAGAATCAAAGGTTCCCAGAGGATTACATAGAAAATGCATGCGGGTCATTTTTGACCCACTTATGGAAGCTTGGGGTAGTAATAAAAAAACTACAATTTCTTAAAATGTGAATGGCATGAAATCCAAAACATGTTTTTAGAGGAATAGCTGGAATATGAAATGATAAAAAACATTTAATTACAAAGATACTTCAAGAAAACCACCTCCCCGGGTCAAAAAAGACCCACTTATGCATCTGGGTTAATCAGGGGTGTCAAACTCAATTTCATCGCGGGCCACATTAGCATTATGGTTGTACTCAAAGGGCTGGTTGTAACTATATAAATATACATATATAAAATAATGTATTATATTACATTATTGCCTCTGAATTGGATTATTATCGGATAGGGTAATAACTAACTACGTTTGAAAGCAGAAGTCCAGGGCAAATACATGCAAGTCTCTTCATTGCGCAAACGAGATGCATTGTGGGCAATGTGTTTCTGTAAAGTGGCATGTAATCGTATAATAAACGTATTATATTCTTTGCAACTTCTTGCGGGCCACATAAAATGAAGTCGCGGGCCGGATTTGGCCCCGGGCCTTGAGTTTGACACCCCTGGGTTAAATGAATTAAAACAAGTGCAGATGTACCTCTCTCCGCATATAAAATCATGTCTACAGCCCGCTGCACAAGAACAAATGGTCCTCACTTTTGTTTTTATTGCACACTTTATTCATTTAGTAAACAGATCTTCACAGTAACAATATAACAGCAGAACACAGAAGCAAATCACTGTGCGGTGCAGCTTGGTCTTCAAAGTATTTATAGCTATTTACACTGAGAATATGAAATTCAAAGAGCAGTGCCCGAGGTTCTCCCTGTAGTGGGATCCATCTCCCACAATGCACTCCTCAGCATGAGTCCAGCTCTGTGAACCCCGTCCATACTGCCAACCCAAAAACATTCAAGTACTGTATTTCTGTCATTGCACAGGTACCGGGCCAGAACAGGACTCTCAGGAGGAAACACCGCTTCATGTCCAACTTCAAATAGCTTTGTTGTTTTCCTATCATGTGAACATAGTAGTACTTAAAGGAATGTCATTTCAAATAGCATCCAATGCTAAGGTACCTAAGGTAAATATTTCCCAACATAACCTATTTATTAAACCCCTTTCATTCTTTGTGACACACCAATAAATAGTCTTTCGGACATGTAATCTCATAGAAAAACATACAAACTGTAACATTTGCATTGTAAAATGATATTATAACAGATAACTGTAAATATTCCAGGTAGTGCATTTCAATGAAATAACCATTTAGCATGAATTACTTAGCATTAAATACTATTTTAGTGTTGTGCTGTCATACTGCATGTTGAGCAAGTTAGACTTGCAGGGGAGATGGGAAAGTAAAAAAAAGAGATACAAAATCAGAATAAGGCAAAGTGAACTTACTGTTAGTGTTGGATATACTTGAACTCGGATTTACACTGTCAGATGTTTGTGATAACACTTTCCGTCTATGCCAAGACAAAACATGTAGATGGATAAAGGGAACTGTGTGGAATTGTTCTCTGGTTGTAGATTGTTTCTGACAAAAAGAAAAAAACCTTTTCCAACTTTCTCAACCTTTCATACATCATGATAACTGATAAAGCTAACGGTCCCCCAGACGCTCCTCCATTCCACTCATTTGGTTATGTACTAATATAATAAAACACATGAAACTAACTGATACCCTCCATAATCAAAACAAACAGAACACAGCATTGGTTTTTTACGTCTTATAGGACAAAAATACATCTGTATCTAACAAGTACAAATCGTCTGTGTGAGCACAGTCTTTCATGGCGGCTCCTTCTTCTTCTATATAAACACGTAAAAGCAGTTTTCAGAGAGGCAATGATGGCAAGTCTTGGAATTCACTGAATTCAGCTTGATATCAGAAGTGGGTCGCTCCCATTGGCCGAACAGCCAGAGACGTGGTCCATGTGTCCCGGGTGGTGTGTCCCCCTCTGCTGCCCTCACTACCTGTGTCCGGGGGTCCTGTGGGTGGCCGTGTCCCCCCCGACCTCCTCCTCCACCACGTTGGCGTAGCCCTCCTTCTCCACGCAGCCCTCCAGGACCTGCAGCACCAGGCGCAGCCGGCGGTCCAGCGCCTGCAGGTGGCGCTGCAGCAGAACGGGGGACAGGCGGTCCCGCAGCAGGGACTCCTCCATCAGGACGCTCAGCCTGAACTCCTCCTTGGCCAGCAGCTGGAGGCGCACGTAGGTGGATTTCTTCACCCTGGAGGGGAGATTCAATAGGTCATTCTGAATTAAACTTCACTCTCTCATATTACTGTGTATATTCTGACTATGAAGACTAATGATAGATAGGTACACTAAAGAAATAATGATCACTTGGATATCAACTCCGTTTGGACCTGAATGATTGGTTTTCTTGCATTCCTCCTCTTTGAACAAATCATCCAAACCAGAGAATATCTTTGAACATTTTAAAATAAATGGGGGCTGCACATAAATACTGCAAAACTATATCAAACACAAGCATAAGACTTTGAATTGTTTTTCACCGTAGAGGCATTTTAGGCGTGAAGTATTGCTTAATGTTTTTTGTTACTGTTCTTTGCCGTAGTAGATAGATGGAAGTAGACAGAAATTCGACACATTATGGTTGTATAGCGTCTTCACCACTAGGCCTCTTCCTGTTAATGAACTACAACATTCATCTGGAATTCACCCTTTTGAAGGAAGCTTATCACTCATGCTGCAGATGCACTAATGGAGAAAAGTTAAAGGGGACCTATCATGCAAAATGCACTTTTGTACGTCTTTTATACATGAATATGTGTCCCCGGTGTGTCAGGGAACTCACCAAGTGTCAGACAACATAACCCTCTCTCTTTTCCACCATACTCAAATCTCTAAAAACGGGGCTGCAACGGAGCTGATTATTATTTGAATTTTTCTGACGTCAGAAAAGGGGTGCTCCGCCTATATGGGCAACTCTCCACCTATCAGGGGAATGAGAGACCGCTCGAAAGCACTGGAGACGCTGTAGTACATATGCCAGGCCTGTAAGTGGCGCTGTAGTCTGCCACAAAAGCAGAATCAGCCCTTGCAAAAACAGGGCTGGAAAAGAGCAAATAGAGCAAACTGAGGCATGGCTAAAATGCATGGTCTGTTTGGTATTTTGAAAAAAAAACTTCACAGACATGTTTTATATAGGTATGGCCCTACAATATATGTTTCAAATATAGCATGATGGGTCCACTTTAAAAAAGTAAACTGTATTCATTGAGTGGTGCTAATGCAAATGCAATGAGGTGGTAAGAAACACAAAATGGCTACATCAAAGCATTTCTGTACAGGTTTAAGGTTTATGACTCAAGTTGGGAAGCCTAAAGAGCAGTGCTAGTAATCTTAAAGTGTGTCCATGCCCTCTGTATATGTTGAGACATATGGCTCTGGTCTTAATGGAGTTTTTAATTCACAAACAAACCTGCAGCACTGACTGAGAGGCACCAGGATGGACAGCTCATCATGGGAGTGTTTTCCAAACCTACAAAGGAGGCAATACAGATCAGAATAAGGAAACAGAAATCATCACGACCCAATGTGAGACAGCGACTGTTTGTTACAGTGGATAAAGATTCAGTGGTTGATAACACAGACACTTGTTTTACCCTCTTCCGTTGTCTAGGTGAATGATGAAGGTGTCATTTCCAAACTTCTCAAAAGTTTCGTAATGATGACGATCCATGTTACCTGGACCAGGAGAGAGCAAAGTGTTGAGGGGACTTAAAGAAATAATGATGCCCTTTTTTAATCTGTAAATGCGATATATCAACATGTGATGCCATAGTTTAACAACTCTTACCCATTAGGAAATCAAAGATGGTCATATCCATGACGTCCAGCAGGCGAGTGCCTCGGTCGTACGGAGGAGTCTGCTTAACCTCGTCACAGTAATCTGGGTCCACCTCCCACCTGAGAACACAAACATATATTTATTATTATATCTTTATGTAGCAAAACAAGATCAGGAGTCAGAGTGTTCAGCTACCAAGCACCCTTTCTCTGGAACCAACTTTCTGTTTTAATCAGAGAGGCAGAGAGTGTCCACACTTCTAAGAGTGTGTTGAATACCTACATTTTAAACAAAGCCTTCAGAGCTGGCATTTTATGGTATTAATTTTATTGAATTTTTATGGTAATTCGTTCATTCATTTTGCTGTAACTCCATCATATACAATACTGTTGTTTGTTTTTAATCTGTAAAGCCCACTGAGACAAACGTGTTTTGTGATATTGGGCTATTCAAATAAAGTTTGATTTGATGTAGTCACAGTAATCACATATGTTGGTTTCCTTACTCTGCTTTCTTGCGTTTGTGGTAGGAGCGTCTCCAGGGGTTCCTCCAGGTCTTGCGCTTGGCGAGGTTCAGGTCGGGCAGGAAGGCCGCCAGCGAGCCCTCGATCTGGTCCGGCTTCCCGCACAGCGCGTGCTCAGTGGAGCAGTAGTACGAGCACTCGCCGTAGAAACACACGTTGTTGGCTGAGGAGAGAAAAGAAAAACACACTGATTTAAAGAAGGTGTCAAAGAAGAAGCGGTCTGCACATTGGCTTTGTGGCAGAACATGAAGGAGGAAGCCAACATGGAGACCTCGAGGGGAGGAGAGCCCGACAGTGAAACATCAGCGTGGTAGAGGTTTTTGACACGGGTCACAGCGCTGACCCAGCAAAGATCGTACATCACAATCAAAGAGAAGCATAGGTCCTCCAATGAGACCGTGTGAACCGATCAGAACGCGCTGGATGCTCAAACACGGAGCATTTATTTTAAATTGTATATATTATACATTTGTTGAGAATTAATTAAATGTTCAAACTCATTTTTGACTGAACCTTTTTTCTGTTCACATAAAGAACCATGTTCCTCATTCCCTGGCTGATCTCTATATTTGCAACATATTGCTTCAAGTGATATGTTTGTAATCGTCTGTGCAGCATTATCAAAGCTACATGTATGTGACAAATGTCCTTCTGTGCAATTTAAACCTTCATTTGGCACACAGTTTGGATGTTTATCTGCTGTAAATTCACCTATAGCTTCCCCAAATCCTTGTATTACAAAGTATAATGTAGTAACAGAAAAAAACCCACATATTTTTAATCTGGATTTGTTGTTTTAGGCCCCTTTAATTTGAGTTTACTGAGTATTTGTATCCAATTTTTACTTTAATGCAATCCTTTGAGCTGTTTTAAAGCTGACAGTGCCACCATGTGGTGACTTCAGGCTATTACCTTATTTATTGCCACACATGCTACAACACATTCTTGATTTATTGTTGCCTGGAAGTGCAGATCAGGACACTCAGACTAACCTGAGCTCCAGATACATAACCCACTTTGTACGGAGTTTAAAACGAGTCTCACAAGTGAAGCCAGTGTCGGTCTGCCCAAACAGAGAAGACGCCAGGCAGCAGAGTGTGTTTCTACCTGGAGAGATGAAGAAGGTCCTCCACAGCTTCTTATCCCGCGTCACATCTCTGATCTCCCTCGTCATGTTAACAAGCCGCCCTGCCACCGGGGGAACTCTCCGGAAGTCAAGGATCCTACAGAAAGAGAGGGGTTATAATGAAGAGGACTTCATGATATTCCAGATTCTACAGTCAAGTCTGAGTTTGTTCTGTATCACACAATGGTTTTTTTCCAAACTTCTCTTTGCCCTGAACAGATGCAGCCAAAAAACATCTTCCGCCTCCAGCACAATCTCCCATGATGCCCCAGGTGGTGCAGAATATCAAAGCATCTCCTGCTAACACAGAGAGCTGCGAACGGTAAGCACCTGTTCCTCTTTGCATTATCTGTCATCAACAGGATATAAGTTGTACTTTAGCCCAAAGTAAAAAGAAAAAGGTTTTCACCAGAGGAATAGTGGTGAGTGGTTTCCAGTCCAAATAGTCAGTACCCGACTTTTATAGTTGAATAATTACTAATCATCTTTACAGTGCTTTCTGTCTGCGTTTGTGTGTGTGTGTTTGTCTACCTTCCAGCTGTTGCACCAATACACTGAAACACAGATAAACACACCTGAACCGTCCAGTGGATGGTTGGGTAAATTCGACACTTTTTCAAACCCTTGAGCTCCATCTCTATCTCAAATCTGTCTTTTTTTCCTCCCTCTCTTCCGCTCCTATGTCAGAACACACTATACCTATTCAGCCCTGTTTGTCCCGCCTCACTGTATGTTTGCTGTCCAAACGACCCTGACCCGTTTGAGACTGAAGCTAAGCCTCCTGGGAGCCGGCGTGCACACAGAGTGGAACGGAGCTGCAGAAACTTTAGCCTACAGAGGGCTGCATTCAGGATCTGAAAACTGCACCGTCATGTCGAGGCCCGGTGACAAAGGAGCACCTGTGTGTGCGTTTGCATGTGTGTGTGTTTTCCTCCACACTCGAGCATCTATTCGTGTGCACTCTGCCTGTTACACACCGCTGAGTCACAAAGAGTTCACAACTGATGGGAATATGGTGAAGAACAGAGGATAACAAAACCCCAGAGCTATAGAAGTAATTACTGAAAGCAGTGATGCTGCCTTTCTCTAAAAGGTTCAGGATATTTTGGTGTAGGTTAAACTAAAGAAAGGGTACAGCGTAGACCGAATCTACAGTATAGTGCAGTCTGAAGGCATGTATGGTGAATTACAATGAATGTATAATGCACCTGAATAAACAAACTTCTCAAAACCTTCAGATTTGACTTATAATCAAGTGTCATCTCTTATGAATGCTCTTGACTTGTATATCATTATTTATGCTGCATTATAACTGATTATTATGCAAGACACCGCTACACGATTAACACTTGTAGCACTGATTACACTTCACTTTCCACCAAGAGGGAAATACTATGTTTAAGAACGCATTACAATTTAATTAACATAGGTTATTATAATTATAACTTATGATACAGGAGGATAATTCAGCTAATACTATGAGTCCTTACTCAAACTGCTAAATTATGAACCATCCAGATCTCTCAGGTCTTCAGGGACTGGTCAGCTTTCTGTCCCCAGAGTCAGAACTAAACATGGTAAAGCAGCGTTCAGTTATTATGCTCCAAATATCTGGAACAAACTCCCAGAAACCTGCAGGTCCGCTGCAACTCTGATTACTTTTAAATCCAGGCTGAAGACTTTTCTTTTTGTCGCTGCTTTTAATTGAACTATTCATATCTTAGACAGCACTGTAACTTTTATCCATGTATTTTTTCTTTTAATGTTTATTTTATTAGCTTTTCTTTTTAATGACTGATTTTAAATGCCTTTTTCTTAATGTCTTTCATTTTTTGTAAAGCACTTTGAATTGCCTTGTGTTGAAAAGTGCTATATAAATAAACTTGCCTTGCCTTGCCTTACTGGAGTCCATTGTAGAGGTTTGTATAGGTAGTGGTAAAGTAGTATAGGCCCCATCAGTCCACATGTAGTTCATGGTTTATATACTTATATTTCATTATAAGTCTAGCATCTTTTATGAATGATGTGCATTTGAAATGTTACGTGTTTTTATAAATGTGGTCATGAAGCATCAGAAAAGCCACATTTTTGTATTATCAATGCGCTTATAATGCGCTACAGATCTACAGAGGAAGAGTACCCAGAGGAAGTTGAAGTCTCCTTCTCTGCATCTCATGTTCAATATGAAGTCATAAACTAGCAAAAGCTCAGACTGGTCTCCAGAGGCTGCTGCTGCGGTCAGGAAACTGGTCTATAACTCCTCAGTGTGGGGCAAGCAATCCAAAAAGCTCTTCAGGGATCACAGAGCCCCCCCCCCCCCCCCCCACACTCCTGCTGTAAAACCATGTCCCGGCGGTGATGGCATGCCTGTGATTTCCTGTTTGGATTTATCCTCCTGCCCACACAAACACATGTCGCTGACCGTATCTAACACAGAGTGAGAGTCTGCGTGTGTGTGTGTGTGTAAAGTAATTACACCACTCTCGGAGGACCTCAAGACGACCTGCGCACCATAAATCTTCCTCCCCCTCAAACTCACGTTAGAGTCTCCTTAGTGTTCCTCTGTTGAGAATTTTTTTTTTTTTACCTTGTCAGCAGAGTAAAAGGATCAGGTGGAAATCAATATAATCAGCCCCAAGTAAAGTAGATGATCCCAGCTCTCGGTGTGTTATCTAATCCCTCATGTTCCAAATCCCATTCAGATCTTCCCAGCTTTAGGCTGTGAAGGCACACCTCCGTAAAGTCGTCTAAGTTAACGGACTTGTGTGACCTGTCATACTTTCTGGAACAGACAGGATGATTTTAAAACACACTCCGACAAGAAACAGATGAGTCAGAAAATACATCTTAAGGAGAAGAAGCTGATAAAACTCACCTGTCCAGATGAAAAGCTGCTACCTCAGCATTGTGCCTCTCAAAGTCGGAGAAGTAGAAGAAGTCTGGAGGGGTTTCCTGATCCCGGGTCTGCCTGAAAGACAGGGTTCATAAAACATTTAACACAACATCTTTTATTCATGGCAATCCATTGCTTTTTAATGCGATTTCTTTTTTTGTCACATAAATAACATGTAGATAAGAGTAACAAGAGGAAACATAATAGGAGTGGACATTTCTATATTTCTATATAACCTCTGGAGGCTGAAAGGTGAGAAAGTTGAAAATGTGATTTCATAGGATATTCTTTAATTGTGCCATCCATCAAATCAAATCAAGTTTTATTTATATTGCACATTTATAAACGATTTTTGGTCGAGCCAAAGTGCTGTACATATAATAAAAATAGCCTACAGTAGAGACACTTTACAGCAAATACAACAACACAGATGCACGTCCAGCTGGGAAGAGACCAAGGGGTAGACCTAGGACCAGGTGGAGGGATTATATCTCTTCGCTGGCCTGGGAGCGCCTTGGCATCCCCCAGTCAGAGCTGGTTGATGTCGCCAGGGAAAATAAAGTTTGGGGCTCTCTGCTGGATCTGCTACCCCCGCGACCCGACCACGGATAAGCGGGAGAAGATGGATGGATGGATGGACAACAGCACAGATTGTTCAGAATATCAGTATGAGAAAAACGACACCCTCTATCCTTAGACCCTCACATCGTACAAGGAAAAACTTCCGGAGAAAATATCCATATTGTATTGTCCTTAAGAGGATGGTGTCATCAGTAAGGTCAATTACAAACAATGATTAAAAACAATACCTTCATAATGATACATTAGAAGTATGCCATCACATGTGCTCTCAGAGTGTGGTGCCTGATTGGTGGTAAACAAAGGAATCCTCTTGTTTTTCGTTCTTTTTATTGTTTTAATGATGTTGTGTTATTTTGCTTGGCTTGTGTCTGCCTATCTAATGTGTTGAGCACTTTGTAACTTTGTTTGAAAAGTACTATATAAATATATATATTTTTTAAATTTGATTTCTGCTCCACTACACACACATCTCCCAGTCCTACATTGGATTGTCTCCTCATGCTGGTTGAAGCTCATCTCAGCATCTGCATCCCTTAATATGACAGAAGCTGCTGCCAGAGACCAAAGCCTGCGTGGACGAGGCTGCTGATGGGAAGCTGAGATTCTGCTCACATCCTGCAGTTCTTCCAAGCAAACACACACATAAACACACACACGCAAACACACACAATCACCGGGGAGAAGTGGATCCCTGCCAACCGAGCCATGGAGGCAGGAAGTGCTGGAAGCCTCTTCGTCTCAGTGCCTGATCTCTCCACATTTACACACTTGCTTCCCTTTCTCACATGAACACACACCTGACATTAACCTGCTCTGCTCGCACATAGTCAGTTAAACAAACACACACACGCACACACACACACACACACACACACACGCACACACACACACACACACACACACACACACACACACACACACACACACACACACACACACACACACACACACACACACACACACACACCACACACACACACACGGCCACTTACTGTACCCCCCCTGCTTTATCTTTCCTCCCCTCCACCACTCCATTAGCGAGGCTTTGACTTCAGGTTGCATTAGTCCCCCCCCCTTCTCTCCCAATGTCCCTCTCCTCCTATACCTTTACATCAAGGAATCAGCCATTTGCCCATGAATCAATTGCTGCTATTGTGATCCCTTCTCCATCTGGAGAGCAAGGAGGGTACTAATGGTGTTTTTTTTTTCAGGGGACAGAAGGCACTGTGTGGATTAGGAGGGGGAGGAATAAAAGGTAGCGGGAGTTCTTGCTTTTAAAAGGTGACCTTATGATCTGGAGCACTCAGTGCACCTGGGACGCAGCTTCTTATCACACAGACATGCCTTCAACAAAGCACCTTATCATGGGAAGGTAATCAGTGTTGCTAAAAGGCTCAGCGGCACAAAGAAGTGCAAAGTTTGAACATGTTTGAGACGAAGAAAGGAGGCTTTCCCAGGATGTTCACGTAATGACAGTTTAATAAATTACTTTGCAGGGAAAGACATGGAGAGAGAAGGACAGACGTTATGGCAACTGATGTCTTAATGTTTCTCCTTCCAAGCTTTTAAACAATATATGAATTTCTTTCTCCTCCCCAAATGTCACTTTGCGCTTTGCGAAACGTAAACCTGACTGCCATACATTACAAGCTTCTGTTGCCATGGTCACCAAGATGTGAAATTTACATTTCCTGTCAGGGAGGAAGCTCAGACTTTTGAATGTACCGGTTTCAAAACACTAAAACAAAGAAAATGTCCACTCACAGTTGTGCACACACACACACACACACACACACACACACACACACACACACACACACACACACACACACACACACACACACACACACCACACACACACACACACACACACACACACACACACACACACACACACACACACACACACACACACACACACACACACACACACACACACACACACACACACACACACACACGCACACACACACATTACATTACATTACATTACATTACATTGCATTTAGCTGACGCTTTTATCCAAAGCGACTTACAATAAGTACATTCGACCAGGAAGACACAAACTTGAAGAAAACAGAATCATATAAGTACATCAGGTTTCATAGAGCCAAACATTTCAAGTGCTACTCAACTGGCTTTAGGTAAGCCAGTCCTTTATTAGTATAAAAGTGCTTCGTTAATAGTTCTAACGCTCGAAGTGGAGTCGAAAGAGATGAGTTTTCAGTTTGCGCCGGAAGATGTGCAAGCTATCTGCCGTCCTGATGTCAATGGGGAGCTCATTCCACCATCCTGGAGCCAGGACAGCAAACCCACGTGTTTTCGCCGATGGGAACTTGGGTCCCCCTCGCAGCGAGGGCGCAACGAGTCGTTTGGCTGATGCAGAGCGTAGTGCACGCGCTGGGGTGTACGGTTTAACCATGTCCTGGATGTAGGAAGGGCCAGATCCATTCGCAGCACGGTAAGCAAGTACCAGTGTCTTGAAGTGGATTCTAGCAGTTACCGGAAGCCAGTGAAGGGAGCGGAGGAGCGGAGTGGTGTGGGAGAATTTAGGAAGGTTGAAGACCAGACGAGCCGCTGCATTCTGGATGAGCTGCAGAGGTCGGATGGCACATGCAGGTAGACCAGCCAGGAGGGAGTTGCAGTAGTCTAGGCGTGAGATGACGAGAGCCTGGACCAGAACCTGAGTCGCTTTCTGAGTCAGCTGGGGACGTATCTTCCTGATGTTGTAAAGCGTGTATCTGCAGAAACGGGTTGTAGCAGCTATGTTTGCAGTGAAGGACAGGTTGTTATCTAGGGTCACACCCAGATTCCTTGCAGTCTGAGTCGGGGAAACAACTGAGGTGCCGATGTTGATTGTTAGGTCAAGAGTGGGACAATCTTTTCCCCGGAGGAAGAGCAGCTCAGTCTTGTCAAGGTTGAGCACACACACACACACACACACACACACACACACACACACACACACACACACACACACACACACACACACACACACACACACACACACACACACACACACCCACACACACACACACACACACACACACACACACACACACTCTTTATGAGCGAGTGTCCTTGATGATAAGACGCTGATAGTGTGATTAAGTTACAGCAAATTTAGTGTAGTGCAGCAGAAGCTTCCGGAGTGTGTGTGTGTCTGTGTGTGTGTGTGTGTGATGAAGCTGAACTGCTTGCCTGTGTGGACTCATTTAGCGCTGACTATGCAGTTTTAATGCGCCTTCACGAGCTTAGGCCTGCACAGTGGAGGGTTATATTAGAGGGATGGGAGAGGGAGGGGCCAAGGCAACAACAGCTGTGCCCCAGAATCACACACGCATACACACTCCTATTCTCTTTCTGTCTCAAAGTCACAAACACACAGAAACAGATAGTACACGTTGGTGACAGGGAGAGGGCAGCAGAGACAAACCCAGGGAGACAAATACCAACTGTGTCACCTTTTGGAATGAAATGTTCATGCTGAGTGAAAGTGAGACAGCACATTGTGTGTGTGATCATCCCTCACACACTCCCACTGACCGACTGCTGCAACGGCATCTTGCTACTGATCCAAGGGAGAGAAGGAGAGCCGGAGACAGACTGAGAGACAGACAGGGTGCACGGAAGATCTGTCATCTATTGGTAATCCACAGCAGATTTCACCCCCCCACTGACAGGAGTCTTTGTTTCTGTCTGGCTGTGTGTGTGTGTGTGTGTGTGTGTGTGTGTGTGTGTGTGTGTGTGTGTGTGTGTGTGTGTGTGTGTGTGTGTGTGTGTGTGGGTGGCGGAGAAAACATGGAGAGTACTTTCCTGTGAGATCTGAGTAAAATAAACTGTAACACTTACAGTTTATGTGTATGTGCATACACAACATAAAATATCCTAAATGTAGAACAAAGGAGACCAGAACTGGACTAACAATCATCATACTGTATGGAATAACATGTGACACCATGTGATTGATAATGTTGCTCTTGAACACACAGGTGTGTCTGCTAATTGTATTTAAAGGACATTGAGAAGGAACTGCCTTTGGCATTTTCTTCTTACCGTAACTCTTCAATGCAGTTGTTTTTTAACAGCTAAGTAATATCAAACCTTTTGAACTCAGATGTATTTAGTTGTGAGTTGTCTTGCTGCTGTCTCTTTTTAAATACATTTGCCTTGCCTTAACTCCATTGGGGGAAATATGGGGGAAATATATAAGTGCCAAACCCTCCTCTGCTGGTCTGCTGACCGTCCCCACCCCACGCCTCGTCACCATGGGTGCTCGGGCTTTTAGCTACACTGCTCCCAGACTCTGGAACTCCCTCCCCCCGCACATCCGACAGTCAGACACAATCACCATATTCAAATCCCAATTAAAAACCCACCTGTTCAAATCTGCTTACTCACTGTAGTGCTCCCCATTATATGTTTCATTTGTGTCCACTTGACCGTCTCCTCCATGATTTCCTGTTTGTGTTTTTATCATGTTCTGTTGCCTA